GGCCTATGCTGTTGAAATGGACCCACGCAAGTCTATGCAGGGGAAAAGGCACTCAAAGTCTGTGGACCCCTTATGCCTGTGCCTACCCTGAGTTCCTGGCTTAGGGGAGCTGGCAGATTATTTTTTCCCCCTGTTAATTTGCTCACTCTCCAAGGCCAAGAGAATGGCTCGGGGCGTGTGACATGTCCTACTTCTGGCCCATGGGACTTGGCAATTGCTGAAGCCAGTCCTGGGCCCAGTGCAGATCAGGGAGCTGGAAAGTAAATGAAGGAGAGGCTTTTCCCTAAGGGGGGTGTTTTTGATACGCATAGTAGGCCAGACACAAGTACTTACCTTTCACCAGTCAAGGGATGCTTCTCACTTGTTCTGCATGGCCGAGTAGTCTGTCTGCCTCTGGGTCTCTCCTGGTATGGAGATTGCCTCCCAAGCCCACTGCTTGCCTGCCTCACACACAACATGAGCTGACCTGGCCTGAAAGGCTCAGACTCTCTCCGGGTCAGGTCTGGCAACTCCTTGCTGCTTTCGAACCATCTCTCCCTCCCCCGCCACTCAGTCTGATTCCTCAACTTTGCCTTTGATGTTCAGGGCTCCTAGATTGTCATATATAATTGATTCACTTGTTTTGTCAGGTCTTTCTTGTAAGAGGGACCACTGGAAGCATCTGACTACTCTGCCATCTTGGCCCCACCTCTCCCATGGTATTTTCAATCACCTTATATGCATGAGAAATCTAGACAATGAATATGGAAGACCAAAGAAAAACTGATGCATATCTAGTATGGTGTTGGCAAAGAATATTGACTATATCATGGATTGCCAGAAGAACAAACAAATCTGTCTTGGAAGAAGTACAGCTAGTATGCTCCTTAGAAGCAAGGATGGTGAGACTTTGTCTTATATACTTTGGACATGTTATCAGAAGGGATCAGTTCCTGGAGAAGGACATCGTGCTTGGTAAAGTAGAGGATCAGTGGAAATGAGGAAGACCCTTAAGGTTATGGATTGACACAGTGGTTGCAACAATGAGCTGAAATACGGCAATCATTATGAAGATGGCACAAGACCAGTCAGCATTTTGTTGTGTTGTACATAGGGTCGCTATGAGTCGGAAGTGACTCAACTGCATCTAACAATAGCACCATAACTTCAACCTTCCCTATCTTAGATTAGATTCTAGGTTAATTTATGGCGTCCGAAGACAGCTTCTGCTTCTGATTTACCATATTTAACACAATTTCCCCAATTCCTTCCTTACTTTATCATGAAGTCCTTTATCTCCTCCTGAGAGTAGAGTAGAAGTTCTTTTGACATATCAGACGTCAGTAGGAGTCAGAATCTGGTTTTAATCTCAGGGCTGAAAGCCAAGGATTCACATAGAGAAAGGGAGGCTGTTATGAAGACACCACCAGCAAGGCCCTAAGGCACATGTCTAGATGTGTCCTCCGTGGCATCTAGAAGTGTCTCTCTGTGGTGAAGCTTGTGTCTTTACTCCTGGCCAAGGCATTTTATCATGTACTTATGGTTGCCCCCCTTCCACCCAAAATCAGGAACGGGCAGGAGCACTGTCTGGAAGAAATTATAAACACAACTAGTCAGGATTCTGTGAGGTTATGTTATCTGAATCAAGATACACTGCTATACATTCAGATTTTAGATCAGGGAGGAACCTCAGCAGAAGGACGGAGGAACAGAGCAGAGACATTCATCTATCAGGAATAAAATGGTTGCTCTAAAGAGACCAATGGAGTTTATTTTACTGAAGTAAGGTGATGCAGTGCTTTTATAATCCAGAGCTTTGTGAGTCAAGCATCTAAATCATTGCTTCTCTTTGTCCTGGATAAATGGCTCTAGGAGACCAAGGGTTACTCAAATTCTAAAGGTTACATAATCAAAATTTACTAACCTCCCATTTGAATCAACTGGTGCTGCAATTATTAACTCAATTACTGTTTATTTTGAAAGTCGCTGACTAGGATGAATCATGAAATATTGCATCATAGTTTATACTCAGTGAAGGTTGGTGACCACTTGAACTGAAAGTTCAATGCTCAGTGCTCTGACTGTGTGTCCTTGGATAAGGCACTGAATGTCCTAGGCCCAACTTCCTTATCTCTAAAGTGGAATATTTTTAGCATAGGCATAAGTAGTTGAGGAAATCAAAAGAGATATTGTGGGTGTAAAAATTCTCTCTAAATCGACAATCTCCATTGTAAACCTGAGGGGTAAGATATTTTGAATTGATAAAGTAATTTTCCCCTAATAAAAGATCTTAAAAAAAACTACACTAATAACCATCCACCAAACATGATAGTATCTTTACATAATACTTCTTTGTACAAGCATTGCCATGAGTAATATAGTAGTGTGTATCAATCCAGTTCTATTTAGATGCTCATGACCACTAAGTCTCATCTCTCCTTTAGTTCTGTGGTACGTGCACACTGTGTTCATTCCACCCTGTGGGTCTGTTTAATGAAGTCCCTACTCACATTTTGCACCAAAGTATGCACCTGTTGCTCCTCTTATAATCTCCCTTCCTTGCTCTGCAGTAGGTCATTCCATTATTTCTGACAAGGACAGACCAAAAAAAGCAAAAGAAGGAGCTGTGTCTGGAGGTAACTGGGAAGTGGGGAAACTGTAGATTCCCAAGCCCTTCTCACTAAATTCCTCTGAGACTGGCTCTTCCAACAGTTATGCTGAGAACACTTCATCTCTGCAGTGTTGGAGAGGGGAGACACCCTATCCTGACTACCTATGGCCCTGTTATCTGTGAAATCAAATATGGGCTTCTATTTAATATGAGGAGTCCCTGGGTGGGGCAAACACTTGACACGCTCAGCTGCTAACTAAAATGTTGGAAGTTCAAGCCCACATAAAGGCACCTAGGAAGAAAGACTTGGCCATCTATTTACAAAAAAATCAGCTGCTGAAAACTCTATGAACCCCTGGCTCCAGCCCCAGCTACTTGGTGCCTCAAAGTATTTGGATGTGTCTAGGAAACTTCTATGCTTCTGCTTTGGTACAGGTGTGCTGACTTCCCCTATGAAACATGTAGGTCAATTGGCATAACATAGTTCATAAAGAAAAGGTTTTACAACTCACTTTGCTGAGTAGCATCTGGAGTCTTAAAAGCTTGTGAGTGGCCATGTAAGATACATCTCTTCGTCCCATTCCCCTGGAGCAAAGCAGAATGAAGAAAACCAAAGACAGAAGGTAAATATTAGCCCAAAAGTCTAAAGGACCACATGAACCAGAGACTCCACCAGCCTGAGACCAGAAGAACTAGAAGGTGTCTGGCTACCACCAGCGACTGCTCTTACAGGGATCACAACAGAGAGTCCTGGACAGAGCAGGAGAAAAATGTAGAAAAGAACTCAAAGACAGAGACTGGAGGGACCCCTGAAGCTCTGATCCCCGGACATTCTACTAACCCAGAACTGAAACCATTCCCGAAGCCCACTCTTCAGACAAAGATTAGACAGGCCAATACAACAAAAGATAACATATGTGAGGAATGGGCTTCTTAGTTCATTCAAATATACAAGACCAATTGGGCAACTCCTGTCCAAAAGCAGGACGAGAATGCAGGAAGGAACTGGTACTGGATGAGCAGACACAGGGAACCTGGAGTGGAAAGGGGAAGCGTGCGTCACTTTTGTGGGGATTGCAACCAATGTCACAAAACAATATGTGTATAAATTTTTGAATGAGAAATTAACTTGAGCTGTAAGCTTTGACCTAAAGCCTAATTAAAAAAAAAAAAAAAAGAAGTATGCTTACAACTATGGAAAGCAAAATAAATAAATAAAAGAAAAGAAAACGATGGAGGACAGTTCTACTCTGACAGACATGAGTTGCCATGATTTGGATTCGACTCTAGGGTAACTGCATGTATTTTATTTATTTAATGTGAAGCCTGTAGTTTTGTGAACAGTCAGTGAGAAATATATTCAGAGTAATTAATGTTTGGGGGTTTTCTTTTGTTGTACTGAGTTTCTTCTTGAGTTAGCTGTGGTGTAAGAGATGGTGCTCCACACGGGCATCAGAAAGTCTCACTCAAATCCTAGTTCTGCCACATATGAGCCATGTGATACTGGAAGGCTCTTCTCCCAGTGTCCTCCTTTCCATCTGAAAAAAAACAAAAACAAAAACTCTACCTTCCAGTGAATTGAGGGGAAGGTAGACTTTAATGGTACACGGTGTGTAAATTTCCTTATCACATAATAATTACTGGGTACATGTTTCGTCATTCAAGGTGCATGAGTTATGCAAAGTATTTTATGTTTAGACAAAGAAATGTTAGCATAATACATTAAATTATTTCAAAAGTCTTCCATTTGCAAGATTAAAGTCTTCTAGTATCTCGTAACACATTACAGGACAGCATTTTTACATGAAAGGCATAGAATACACTGACTCTGTCTAAGACATAAATTCCCAACTGCTCATTAGTCTGAGAATCCAGAATGCTGTGCAGTATTTTTTATCAAATCATTTACTTCAATGGTTCTCAATCCTGGCTTCATATTGGAACCACAAATGGTGTTTTGTCAATTATTTTATTTTTATTTTTATTTTTTTTAGCAATACATGGGAGACTTGCTGGTGCAGTGGTTAATAGCTACAGCTGCTAACCAAAAGGTTGGCAGTTTGAATTCACCAGCCTATGCCTGGAAACTCTATGGGGTGGTTCTACTCTGTCCTATAGGGTCACTGAGTCTGGATCGACTCAATGGCAACCAGTTTGTTTTTTTTTTGATTTTGGTTCAACCCTATACCGGTTAAACCAAAACCTTCAGGGTGGGACCTGGCCTTGGAAAGAAAGAGAGCACGATTAAATGACAGTTTATTTTTATCTAGGTCAGTGGGCCAAAGTCTGCTTAGAAGAGATTACAGCAAATCTATCTGATTGGTCACTTTATTCATCAGAATTAGGAGTTAAGCAGCAGAGAGTATTTAAAATCTTTCCATTGGAAGCCCATAGTTGCCTGAGTAAGAAGAGAAGGCCTCAATGGATCCAGTTGTGGTCCTGGTGATCTGTCTCTCCAGTTTGCTTCTCTTTTCACTCTGGAAACAGAGCTATGGGAAAGGGAAGCTCCCACCCGGCCCCACGCCTCTCCCGATTATTGGAAATATCCTACAGTTAGATGTGAAGGACATCAGCCGTTCCCTACACAATGTAAGTATGCTTTATGCTCCCCCGGTGGCTTGCAGGAGGTAAGTAAATTAACCTCTACTTTAAAATACAATGTATTCCTAGAAGCAAAGTATTAAAATAGATCATATTAAAGCAAAATACTCCCTGAGGATTTTGTTGTTTCTGTTGCTTTTTTTTGTCTGTCATTCTCAGACCAAATGAAGTAATGCATTCTGGGAGAAGAGAAAAATTTGGTTCAGTCGTTGTAACACAGAATCAAAATAATGAAGTGGTGGAGTGGCAAAAGGAGGGAGCAATGCTGCCCTTCATTGTTTCACAGTCATTTGCTGTGATTTTTTGGCTGAAGGTAAATGGTGTTGGAAGTGGTTTGTGATTAGAAAGTCCATTCAGGAGTCATCTATGGTGTAAGCCATGTGTTTTGTTCAGATTAGCCATGAAAATTAAACTTTTCCTAAAAAACAGATTACACCTGATGGTAGGGAATAGTGATGGGCTGAGGACCAGTCTGGGGGAATGAAAGAAAGCAGTAATGAGGGAGGCCCTGGTGGTGACAGCATCCTTTTGGACTCCGCGCCGAGCTGCTGTCTGTGGCCTGGGAATGCTGCAGGATGGAAAAAATGGTTCTTCCATGAGATACTGCCTGTCCTGGCACTACCTCTTTCTGTGTGAGCAATATCTGCAGATTTCAAACTGGACTGGGCTTGGAATCATATGGGCTGATTTTTAAAAATATGGATTTCTAGTGTTCATCACAGTGTCACTGAATAGAATCCCCATGGGAAGAGGTTTACAAATCAGTACCTGGATACTGGTCCAAAGGTGGGCATTGGGGATAAAACGTTGTCTAGGTATCAGAAATCGACCAAGCGAAGGTTCAAATTTTGGTCTTCTAATTATTAGCTGTAGTCCAAGTGGTGCAGTGGTTAAGAGCTCGGCTGCTAACGAAAAGATCAATAGTTCGAATCCACCATCTGCTCCTTGGAAACCTTATGGGGCAGTTCTCTGTCTTGCATGGCTGCTATGAGTCAGAATTGACTTGACAACGGGGTTTTTTTCTTTTTTTTGGTTTTTTAATTATTAGCTGAAGAAGTCCTTTGGCTCAGTGGTTAAGCGCTCGGCTGCTAACTAAAAGGTCAGTGGTTGGAACTCACCAGCCCCTCCACAGGAGAAAGATGTGGCAGTTTGCTTTGCAAAGATCACAGCCTTGGAAACCCTATGGGGCAGTTCTGCTGTGTTTTATAGGGTAGCTATGAGTTGGAATCTACTCACCTGCAATTGGTTTTAATTATTAACAGAGAGATTGGAAATAAAATTGAACTTCTCTGAATCTTAGTTTCCTTTTCCATAAAATAGGGGTAAGTAAATCTGCTCATGGTGTTAATGTGAGGTTAGCTGTAACAATGTGTGGAACAAGTGTCTGTTCCTTTGCCTGGCACATCAGAGACCCCATTAAATGGCAGCTATAAAATCACCATCATCTGTATAAAATTAAAAATATTGAAGCTGCACATGGTATAATAAAAACATCAACAGTATGTACGATGACAAATATCAGTCTGAATAACGCACAGCGTATAGATCAAATAGTGACTTCCTTTGCTAATATTTATACCCATTTTCCATTTCCCAGTTCTCAAAAGCCTATGGCCCTGTGTTCACTCTGTATTTTGGCATGAAGCCCACAGTGGTGTTACATGGGTATGAAGCAATTAAGGAAGCCCTGATTGATCTGGGAGAAGAGTTTTCTGGAAGAGGTCATTTTCCAGTAGCTGAAAGAACTAATAAAGAGTTTGGTAGGTGTTCATGTCGGTCTGTTGGGCAGTAGTAATGGCAAGTGGGGAAGACTGGAAAACAGAGATTGAAGAGCTGCACAGGTAGAACTTGTCCCATTCACGTGGCTGCCTAGGTCAGCATCCTTTTTCTTGCCTAGGATCTCCCAGTTAGTTTCTGTTCTCCCTCCTGGTAGGAGTCGTTTTCAGCAATGGAAAGATATGGAAGGAGACCCGGCGCTTCTCCCTCATGACCCTGCGGGATTTCGGGATGGGCAAGAGGAGCCTTGAGAACCGCGTTCAGGAGGAAGCCTGCTGCCTAGTGGAGGAGTTAAGAAAAACCAACGGTGGGTGATTCTTTACTCTGTAACACTGACCTTAACAGAGCACTCTCTTCTCTAGTGGGGTCTTTGGAAACATTATATGGGCCTCCAAGTATTTCCTTGTGGGTAGGGACTATCACCCCCAGAGGTGGAGGAGGGAGGATTTGTGTATGTAGACCCATTATTGTGCAGACAGTGTGAGTATAAAAGGCTCTTTTAAGCTTTTTCTTTCCAGGCTTTGTTTGTTGTCTTCAAATGAAAGTTATGAAGATAGAAGATTTTGAGTCTCGTTTTCTTAAAGTTAAAAAGCAGTGTTTTACCCTAGCATAATTGTGGGTTACCTATTCCAGAACATTTCACTGGTGAATACTTGTCAAGTGAACACTGTGGGAATGATCTCATCACACCTTTATGGACCGTGAAGCAAGCATTTTTGGTTTTAACTTCATTGGACTCCATGTTATGGTCAGCCTCAATGACCTGTCTGAGGGTTTCTGCCAAAGCCCATGCCTGCAGTTCTGATCAGGCATGATGCTCGTCTATGGTTTTAATTGTGTTGGCATTTCTTAGTGCAACTCTCATCAATTGTGATCCGTAAATATAGGACTATTTTAAAACTATGAGCATGTTACTCTCTACTAACTAATGATTTGCATATTTTAAGAAAATGTATGATATGTCACAAATGCAAAATATACAAATACCGGTTTGCAAAATCATTTAACTAGATTTCAAGTGTTATTAATTACTCTTTGCTTTATCTTCTCTAATGATAAGTTGGTTCTGTTTGTGTTTGCTTATCTTTTTCTGCCCCATAATTGGATTCGGGTAAGAACATTTATGTTAATTATTTACCTCACACTGCCAGCTCTTCTGACCAATAAAATACATGTCACAATAACTGTGGGTTTCAGCTTGGATTTCAAATTACCCTGGATTTTAATTCCTTCTTTCAAATGAAGGGAAAGATTGAAAATTAGATTTTAGCTTTGAACCCCACACGCACAAATAAATCCCCAAAGATTCCTGAATAGCCCCAACATCAAGCTAAAATGAAAACTTTCTGAAAGCTTAGTTAGATCCCTGCAGAGTTTTCGGTTTCAGATAGTATAGAAGAAGCTAGTTGCACAGGCTCCCAACTATTTAATGCCCTATCATTTCTTCACAACATTTTTGATTCAATTAACCGTTAATTACTTCTATAGATACGAACTTGGGAACTTTTTACATATAAAGTTTATATTTCATTTGATTAGAACAGTTTCATTTTACAAATACTCAACCAAAAACTAATAAAACATTTCCTCTGCTTTAATTTCTTTATCTGTAAAATGACGGAATTGACCTAAATCATGGTCAAATTACGGAGTAACTGAGTTACTCCGTAGATGGTTATGTAGAACAATATCCCAGAAGTCCACAAGAGGGTGAGCCTGGCAAAAAAAAAAAAAATCAATTAGGGGGCCGATTGAAGATGAACTCCCAAAAAATGAATGCTGTCAAACCAATTCCGACTTATAGAGACCCATAGGGTTTCCAAGGCTGTAAATACTTACCAGAGCAGAGTGTCACATCTTTCTTCCACAGAGCAGTTGGTGGATTCAAACCATTGACCTTTCAGTTACCAGTCAAGCACTTAAGCGCTTAACCACTATGCCACCAGGACTCCTAATTGGAGATGATGGGTACTAATTCCTAGAGCAAAAAAGAATCCCCCTTCCCCAACTGAAAGAAAGAAAGAAAGAAATGAAAGGATTCCACTTATTAATTTACCTTTTTCATTTTTTGTCCTACATATCATTTAAGTATGAAATGAGACTATATCGTTTTATTTTTAATTTAGGCAAACTATCTTACAATTTCTGTTCCTTTGTGTTAGTTTTCCTACTCATACAGCGTGGAAGTTTTTTTATTTTTTACATTTGTTTGTTTAAATACCCGAATTCACCTGTAAACACTCTCTTTAATCTTTCCCTCGGCTGTTTCTACACATGGTTCCTTTAACTATTCAGTATATATAAGAAGTGTTGAGGTCCCTAAATATTTTCTCCCTTTGTTATCAATGCTTAATTGTCGGCAGGCTTGGTAGACAGATGTGAAACTATAATCAAAACTTTGATTATTGTTGTTGTTGATGTTGTTTATGTATAACAGAATGAAACCTTGCCCACTTCGTCAATACATCTCATTCAGGGTTTTCTTCATTTTTGCTGACCCTCTGCTTTACCAAGCATGATGTCTTTATTTAGGAATTGGTCTTTCCTGATGACATGTATAAAGTAAGCAAGACAAATTCTCTCCATTACACTTGTATTTCTTCTGAACTGATTTGTTTGTACATCTGGCACTCCATTGTATATTCAGTATTGTTTGCCAACACCCCAGTTTGAATGCCTCAATTCTTTTGTCTTCTGTTTTCATTGTCCAGCTTTAGCATACGTAAGAACAGGGCTTGGGTCAGGCTCAACTTAGTTATCAAACTAACATCTTTGCTGTTTAGAGGGTTATCAGGTATTTTTAAAAAACGGTGTCTTTAAATTTTTTTTTTCTTTTACCCTCCAAAATTACAGACACCTTGATTTAGAATGGTGTAAATAAGTACAGGGAGAGTGAATGGAGTATTGGGAACATCATAATTAAACTAGGTGGGAAGGAATGGTCAATGCAGTTTGAAGAGAAAAGTGATATGTAGATTGTAGGCATGCTGAATATGGGGCTGACAAGGGAATTTCTTGGTAGATATTGCTTCAAACTTTCTAAAGTTATTTCAGTGACAAAGAATTTTATATGTATATTTAATGGTATTTTTTCATTTTTCCAATTCTTTAGCCTCACCCTGTGATCCCACTTTCATCCTGGCCTGTGCTCCCTGCAATGTGATCTGCTCCATTATTTTCCAGAATCGTTTTGATTATACAGATGAGAATTTTCTTAACTTGATAGGAATATTGAGTGAAAACACACAGATTCTGAGCACCCCATGGATGCAGGTGAGGCCAAGATCCTTTCTCTGAGAAGTGCAAAATTCTTTAATGGACCAAGCTGTAAAATGAATGTTTGAACACAAAACTCCTGGCCAGAGCCTAGCAGTGTGAAGTGAACATCTGGGAAATACAGCCAAGCCCTTTACTTTACACAGAAGTAAATGAATTCTCAGAATATAGAGCTCTTTTCAAGCCCATTGGCTCCCTGCACAGTGGTTTTTCCCCTAAACCCCAAAGCCCAGTTTCCATAGTTTGGTGACTGCCCCGAAAGCATGCCCACAGGACTCAATGGAGATCCAAGGCCTTTGTTGAAAGGCTTCCATTACCTATGAGGCTTGTCCTCCATTCAATACATAATGGCTTATTCATCAAATAACTTGGCAGAAATGTTCTAACTTAGCATATCAAAGAGGGGGAATGTTTAGGACCATAGATGTTACTAAGGTAAAGTTGGTTGATGCCTTCAGCTGGAATTCTAGATGACAAAATGAAGAGAGTTTACAGGGTATAAACCATAAACAATCATCACAATTTTAAGCTGTGCTTAGCTGGCGTGTCCTGCACTCTTGTCTGGATAATTGTGTGATCTTAGAGAATTCACTTAGCTGCTCTGGTGCACAGGTATTTATCCGCAAAATGCTGAGTCAGATTTCATGGTATCTTCAAGCTCCTCCCAGCTCTAAAACCCTGATTCTATTTCTGAGTCAGCTTGATAGAAGTAGAAGCAGCCATGACTAACTTTGTGCTTTATATCAATCAGGTTGCTCATACTTCTTTAACCTGCTCTGGCCTCATCTACAAAATGTGAATCATAGTAACTGATGCTATTTGTATTTCAAGGTTGTAGAAAAGAATTGATATAAAAAGTGAGAGGATTGATATAAAGATTCTTTTATACTATAGAAATAATATATAAGTATCAGAAGTGATTATCGTCTTTGATCATCTGGTTAGTGTTCTCCCTTGAATATTTCTATAAGCATAGAGAATTACTTTACATGTACAGTAAGAAGCTCTCCCTCCAGGTGGAGACCATTTTCTATTCATCTTTATAGCTCCAGTTTTAACGAGGGGTTGGCATATCATATGTATGTCTTCATTAAAAGATTTTTATTTAATAAATGATTTTTTTCTTTTGTAGATCTGCAGTACTTTCCCCATGCTCCTTGATTATTTCCCAGGGATTCATAACAAATTATTTAATAATGCTATTTTTTTAAAAAGTTATATTTTGGGGAAAGTGAAAGATCACCAAGAAACCTTGGACATTAACAATCCTCGGGACTTCATTGATTGTTTCCTGATCAGAATGGAACAGGTAAGATGTGAGAGGCCGCTCAGTTATTTGTTTGCTTGTGCAGTCTGTGGTTCATTGCATAGTTCTGTACTTACTAGACAAGCACTTTTAGTACATATGTGCAAACTGATCCACCCTAAGCATCATGGAATAATTTAAAATTGAATTGTGGAATAATTTAAAATTGATTTGTTAAATAATTAGAGTACATAGACACTATTCTTTAGGTACTAATAATCTACCTGAAGAGAAACCAAATACACACCTCAGATGAAATAGAATCAATTACAAATAAGCTAAAATGTAGGAAATATCATGCCACCAAATGAAGATGTAAATGATCATTGCCCACAGTGAGAAGGAAAGGCTTGGCCTAGGTAAACTTTCTGCATGTGCTGAGGTTTGGTGTAGATCTTAATATATTTTCAGTGAGGGACAGGAAAGGTCATTACAGATGGGTTGAATGGTATATTCAGGGGATGAGAGGTGTGTGGTGTCCAAGAGATAAAGGGGATGGAAGAGCAAAGCCTTAACTGAGTATTTCCAAACATGAATTTGGACAGGTAGGCAATTGGATGTTGGTGTCTTTCACGTAGACTGTAAAAATAAATGCTGGCATGGAAAGTTTTGATTGATCGGGTAGGTAGATTATGAGTCATAACAGGATGGAATGCAGATAATTATTAGGGAAATTATCCTGCTGTCTGTAGAACAGTCTATATGATGAGAATGGAGCTCAAGGATTATCTGGGAGATTTTGCCATTATTTAGATTGGTCTTAAGGAGTGTGTGGACCTTGGAAATGCAGAGGTGTCTGAAAGAAAACCAAAGTCATCTGTTTTGTCATGTTCTCAGAGATCTAGGAAGAGAATCAATGAGGCAGTGCAATGGAAGTCAAAGAAGAAGCTGCATTTTAGAAGAAATGGATCAAATAAAACAGAGAAGTGAAGAATGTTGTACTTGGAAAAGCCTGTGAATTTGGTTAAGAATTTGTGTTGGAGGAACCCTATAGAGTGTGATTTTAGCAGAGAGGGGAAGACGGGAGCCAAATTACAGGGATCTGTATGTGAAATTTCAGTCATGAGACAAGACATCATATTTGACAAGTTTAGCAAAGAGAGAATGATTTGGATGCTGAATTTGAACAATGATAAGTTCAAGTTGAAAATCTGTGTTAGAAGAGTAATGCAGATGCCATAATGGTATGTGCTTAGCTACAAGGTTCTCATTGAAATGGGCAGAGGTAGAATTCTGAACACTCTGAAAAGTGCTAACTCTGAAGAAGGAGATACCTTCCTCTGGGGTCACCATTATTATATTCAGCCACTTTTTATTAGCACTGGGCAGAAAAGAGAAATCAGTTAAGTAGTCCAAAATAGGAAGGAGTAAAATACTGAAGGAGGTACCGTTCAAATAATTATCCATGGAATTTGACCTGAACCGCTTACATTATGCGTTCCAGATGAAATGCAGTGAAGGAGGTGGAATGGTTTGAAGAAACTGGGGGAGGGAGGAAGCAAATTACTTCCTCTGTCTGCCTTCTTTGCTGTCTGGGAAATGATTCTTATCCTTTCCTGTGGTCCAGTTATTTTGAAAATCTGATTCAAGGTGTGGGCACTTTCTCGGAAGTGTCCACGTGAGTTGCACCTGCATGATTTTTACCAATGCACCTGCATGAGCTCTCGGTATTTTGCTCACATTTACGGGGGATTCCTTAATGCTTTGAAGCCTCTCCAGTTATCACTGGTTAAAGAGGGCTCTAAGGTCTCTAGTATTTCAATTACAAGGTAGCCGTGAATCAGAGCTGACTAAAAAGCAACTAACACCAATTACCTCAATGCTGTATTTAAAAACAGCATTGCTTTTCTGGGCTTCACTCTTTGTATTGAGAGTCTAGACTAATTTTTTTGTTAAACCTAAATTGAGATATAATTCACATATCACACAATTCACCCATTTAAAGGGTATAATTCAAAGGTTTTTAGTTTATTCAGAGTTGTGCAGGCATTACCACCATCAATTTCAGAATATTTTCATCAACCTGAAAGAAACCACATACCCTTTGGCAGTCATCCTCCATTTTCCCACAACCCTCCTAGCCCTATGAATTTTAAGATAAGCTTATCAATTTCTGCAGAAGAAGACAGTTTGGATTTTGAGAAGGATCTCATTAAATCTGTAGCTCTAGTATGGGAGTAATGCCATGTTAACAATATTAAGTGTCATGATCCATGCACATGAAATGTCTTTCCACTTATGTAGGTGTTCTTTAATATCTTTTAACAAAGTTTTGTGTAATCTATCTTAATTTTGATAGGCTATGCACACATAACCAGTGAATCTCCGAATTCGTTTGGGCAGATGAAAATATTAATATCGGTTTATATGTACTCTGTTCTCCTTCCTGCCTTTAGAGTAATTTTGAGTTGATGAGCTTAGTAAACAATGAAATTAATGTTACCTAGGAAGACGACTAGATTTGTCTAGCATATACATACATTGATAGGGGTAAGTCAGTCTTAATGGGATTACTTGCATAATGTTAGACATGCCACTTGCCACCTGGAAAGTATGAGAGCCTCATTAAAATAATACTGGCCTAGTGTACTGGTTAACTCTGTGGGGCAGTTCTACTCTGTCCTATAGGGTCCCTATGAGTTGGAATCGACTTGACAGCAATGGGTTCGTGTACTGGTTAGGAAAAGAGTTTTTCTTTAGGTATGTTAATGACCCCCTCCAGTCAGTATTTCAAACTGCCCCTTTTTTATTGTCTGCTCAGGATCCCATCATCCCCTAGTCCTAAACCTACTTTAGTTGTTCTTGTCAAGTGCTTTTCGTCTTCCAGCTTCCAATCCATGAGAGCTCCATTCAGTCAATCCCTTAGTCTCAGCACCTGCATTACCCCACTCTCTCCTTCACCCCTTATGGGCAGTTAATGCCCTAACTCTCTGTATTCATGTTTGTTGTATCTCTTTAATTTGTATATTCTTGTCTATTTTTGCAGTTGTTCACCAGACCAAGTTGCCTGTTGTGTAGCATCTGGGATACAATAGTGCTGTCCATATTGTTGTGAATCCGTTCTCTTTCCCAATAATTCATTCTAGGCTGTGCTGCCATATAAGCTTTTGCACAATTTAAACTTCATAATGAGTTTTTAAGCAATACTGAGTCCATATAAAAAACAGAAGAAGAGAATTGTAAACTCTTGATTCAGGCTTGTATCTTTCATGATATGGCACCAATTTACACATGTCTATCAATTAAGATTGTGTTTTGTCTACAAATAAAAGGAAACCCAATGAACAATGGCTTAAACATACAGTGGGTTTATCTTACAATGAGTCTCATGTTGGGCAGGCCAGGCTAGTACAATAACCCTGAAGCATCAAGGAGTCAATGTCTTCCATTTTCCTTTACCAAACTTACTATATACACTTTTATCTTCATGCTTCAATCCTCATGTCCCAAGATGATGTCTGCCCACCTTCCACCCGTGCACATCTGAGTTTTGAGTGAGAAGTAGGAAAGAGAAGAAGTGGTACCAGCAGGCTTTTGCTTGTATCTCACTAGCAAGACCAATGTTGGATGGCCCACATAACTGCAAAAGAGGCTGGAAAATGAAATATTTTGTCAAGTACAACAATGATAAAGGAATAGAAAATGAAGATTGGGTTACCTCATCTACAGTCTCCGTCATACCACATACTAGTTTATTTTGTAAAACTATACTTCCAAGTTTCTAAGTTTGCTTAACTTTAGAACACCCTGAGTTATTTTGGAGGCATTGCAATTTAACATGCTGGGAAACTAATTTGTCAAAATTGTGTCAAATCACTCCTAGGAAAAGCACAATCAACAGTCTGATTTTATTGTTGAAAACTTGTTAGCCACAATATCTGATCTGTTTGGAGCTGGGACAGAGACAACAAGCACCACCCTGAGGTATGGACTCCTGCTTCTGCTAAAGTACCCGGAGGTGGCAGGTACGACCACAGATGGTGGGCAGGGTGAAATTCAGAAAAGAAGTTGGCAAGACACAGCGAGTGTTTTCCATCGCATTTCTCTTAGAGAAGACTTATTATTTAAATTTCTGTGCTACCAGGTGCAATTTGTCCAAATGTGACGAAGCAATAAAAATGAGACAAATTTGCACAATAGGGAAGGGTGACTGAGAGAAGGGAAGGACTGACAGTGGGCAGTAGTAAACATGATAAAGCTCTGGTGTAGTGTCAAGATTCCGTGAGAGGAATTTGAGGCAGGAAAGTTTCAGAAAGGCTACTGGGCAGCAGGCCTGGAAAACAACCAATTTAAAATGGACTAGGTGGATAAAGCAAGTGTGAGGGAAGACCCCAAGAGCAAAGGGGAAATGATCAATTATCTGAGGTTTCCCAATAATTAGGAGATCATTACTAGGAGTTTCAAACATCGGTGCTTTCCTTAGCATCTGGAAATCATTTTAAATTTGCATCTACAAAATTAGTAATGAAATACAGACTCTTTTAAATCAAACAGCATACAAAAATGAAATATAAGCATAGTTATCATAGCAGGAAACAATATTTATGTAGCCATAATGATGTAAAAAGTGAGTGTTGATATAATTAAAAAAGGTAATATCAATACAATGTAGAAAAGGAGTGGGCAAAGTATGTGTGAAGGTACGTGCATATGTGTGTATGTGCGCGTGCATGCTTGTGTGGTGTGTTTATGTGTTTTTTATTGGGGTGAGAGGAACTTGTAAATCCCCATCTCCCATACCTGCTTGTTGTTGTTACGTGCTGTAGAGTCGGTTCCTACTCATAGGGATCCTGTGTATAACAAAACAAAACACTTCCTGGTCCTACACCATTCTCACAATCCTTGCTGTGTTTGAGTCCATTGTTGCAGCCACTGTGTCAATCCATATAGTTGAGGGTCTTCCTCTTTTTCACTGATCTTCTACTTTACCAAGCATGATGTCCTTCTCCAGGGACTGTTCCCTCCTGATAATACGTCCAAGGTTAAAAAAAAACAAACCAAACCCATTGCGGTCGTGTCGATTCCAACTCATAGTGACCCTACAGGACAGAGCAGAACTGCCCCATAAGGTTTCCATGGCGCCTGGTGGATTCGAACTGCTAACCTTTTGGCTAGCAGCCGAACTCTTAACCACTATGCCACCAAGATAGGTAAGATGAAGTCTCACCATCCTCCCATCTAAGGAGCATTCTGGCTATACTTCTTTCAAGGCAGGTTTGTTCGTTCTTCTGGCATTCCATGGTATATTCAGTATTCTTTGCCAACACCATAATTCAAAAGCATCAATTCTTCTTCCATCTTCCTTATCCATTGTCCAGCTTTCACATGCATGTGAGGTGAGTGAAAATGCCATGGCTTGGGACAGGTGCGCCTGAGTCCTCAAGGTGACATCTTTGCTTTTTAACACTTTAAAGACGTCTTTTGCAGCAGATTTGCCCAATGCAATGCATCTTGATTTCTTGACTGTTGCTTCCATGGGTGTTGATTGTGCATCCAAGTAAAATGAAATCCTTGACAACTTCATTGTTTTCTCTGTTTATTGTGATGTTGCTTATTGGTCGAGTTGTGAGGATTATTAATTTCTTTATGTTGAGGTGTAATCCATACTGAAAGCAGTAGTCTTTGATCTTCATCAGTAAGTATTTCATACCTTCTTCATTTTCAGCAAGCAAGGTTGTGTCATTTGCCCATCACAGGTTGTTAATTAGTCTTCCTCCAATCCTGATGACTTCTGCTTCTACATATAGTTCAGCTTCTCGAATTATTTGCTCAGCCTACAGACTGAATAATTATGATGAAAGGATACAACCATGACACACACCTTTTAAAATGTTAAACCACAAAGTATCCCCTTGTTCTGTTTGAACGACTGCCTCGTGGTCTATGTACAGTTTCCACATGAGCACAATTAAATGTTCTAGAATTCCCATTCTCTGCAATGTTATCCATAATCTCTTATGCTTCACACTTCAAATGCCTTTGCGTAGTCAATAAAACAGAGGTAAACACCTTTCTGGTATTGTCTGCTTTCAGGCAAGATCCACCTGTCATCAGCAATGATATCCCTCATTCCACATCCTCTTCTGAATCCATACCTGGTAGTCATTAGATACTGTCTAAAAATGGGTACATCAAAAAATGGAAATGGAAAAAGAGTCATTGATTAGAAATATGCATATAAATTCCAGAGGAAACTGCCATGGTTCAAAGTGGCTGCCTTCAAGAGTAGGGGATGAGAAAGAGTTCTATTGCAAATTGCATAGACACACACACACATATACATCTTTTAGTAGAATTTATTATTTAAAACCATATATTATTTTGATTTAAATTAATATTTGATTCTTGTTTATCTTCCTGCAGGGAGAGTAATTTCTTGAGTTAATTATATGTTAATAGCTTATATTTTGAAGCATTTTATAATTTCTATTGGTATTAGTTACTTTATATGCTAATATATAGGTATGTACATATTTGTCTTAAGACCTAGCTTATAAGAGAGTATATGTGTCAGTTATTGCTGTTAATTGACATCAAGTTGATTCTGACTCACGATGACCCCATGTACAACAGAACAAAACATTACCAGATCCTGCACCATCTTTACGATTGTTGGGATACTTGAGTCCATTTTTGCAGCCACTGTGTATTTTGAGTATCTTTCAACCTAGGGACCTCATGTTCCAGCACTATGTTGGACAATTTGTTGATGTGATCCATGAGGATTCATTGTCTAATTTTCAGAAATAGATCACCAGGCTTTCCTTCCTACTGTATCTTAGTCTGGAAGCTCTGCTGAAATCTGTCCACCATGGGTGACTCTGCTGGTATTTGAAATACTTGTGGCATAGCTTCCAGCATCATAGCAACACAAAAGCCACCACCAGATAGTCAGTCAGTGTGTCTACATTGTAGCAATTCTCTCTTTCTGTCTAGGTGTACTTCTGGGCATATAATTTATAATGATATTGGGATAATTTCTTAATGCTTCATGTAATGCTGAATTGCTATGGCAAATGTGTCAATTTTCTCCTTTTCATCAGTTCTTACTTATGTTTTATCAGCTAAAGTTCAGGAAGAAATTGACCGTGTGGTTGGCCGACACCGGAGCCCATGCATGCAAGACAGGGGCAGCATGCCCTATACGGATGCTGTTATACACGAGATCCTGAGATACATTGACCTCATCCCCATGGGCCTGCCCCATGCAGTGACTCGTGACATTAAGTTCAGGGATTACATCATCCCCAAGGTAAGATTTATTTCTCATACACTGCACCTCAGTGCTCTTGAATTCCTCATGTTCACAGTATGGTTCCAATCCTTTACCAATTTAGAATGAGAAAAGTGCAAAAATCACAACTGTGGGTTGACGGATTTTGTGTTGTGTCCTGTTTGGGGCTACAGAGCTTATTATTACAGACTTGATATCTGGCAGTGTAAGTCTTAAATTTGTTCTGCTTCTTTAAGATTAGATTTCTCTTAGTTGTTACATTTCCAAATATATTTTAGTATCAGTTTGTCCCTTTCCCAAAACACCTGCTGGGATTTTTATTAGGGTGACATTAAATCTATAGATCAACTTAGGAAGAATTGACATCTTGACATGTTGAATCTTTCAGTTCATGAATATGGTATATGCTACCAATCTATTTGGGCTTTCTTTAATTTTCTCAGTAATGGTTTGTTTTCAGTACAGTGGCTTGCACATCTTTTGTTAGGTGTATCTTAAGTAATTAATATTTTTTATGTATTATAATATTTTATACAACTTTTTTGTTCAAAGTAAATGGAAGTACAACTGATTTTATTGTTTTGGTGACCTTATGCCTAGCAATCTTGTTATATTCATTTATCACTGCAAATAATTTGCCTGTGGATTCATTTGGAATGTCTGTGTACAAAATAGGAGCCCTGTTGATGGAATAGTTAAGTGCTCGGCTGCTAACCAAAATGTCAGTGGTTTGAACCCACCGATGGCTACAGGGAAGAAAAGACCTGGTGACCTGCTCCTGTAAAGATTAAACCCATTGCCGTCGAGTCAATTCCCACTCATAGCTACCCTATAGGACAGAGTATAACTGCCCCATAGGGTTTCCAAGGAGCAGCTGGTGGATCCGAACTGGTGACCTCTTGGTTAGCAGTCGAGGTCTTAGCCACTGTGCCATTGGGACTCCCCTGTAAAGATTACAGCCTGGGAAACCCCATGGGGCAGTTCTACCCCATCCTATAGGGTCACTATGAGTCGGAGTTGACTGGATGGCACACAAGAAGCATAACAATATGTATAAAATCTTATAATCTGGATTAACATTTGTTTTATTTTTATTTTCTTATTCTAATGACTTCCATTTCTCTTTATGGCATCATGGCCCTTGCTAGGATTCTCAGGATAGTGTTGAATAGAAATGGTGACAGGGGGCATCCTTGATTCATTTCTGATCTCCAGGCAGGGCTGAGCGGTTAGTATCGAACCATTGAGAATGAAGCTTTATGTGTATTTTTATAGATACTCTTTATGAGATTAAGGAAGTTCTCTGTCTTCTCTTATTTTTGTGTATTTTTCATGAATATGTGTATAATTTTATCAAATGTATTGTCTGCATCACAAGTTTTGGCCACCCTGTCCCTACTATATTTTACATATTCATATAGACACACAGCTGGATTTCATTTGCTACATTTTGTTCAGGACTTTTGTATTTAAAATCATAAAAGAGATTGGTCTACAAATATTCTTCCTGAAAAGTGCTGGTCATATTTCTGGTAGCAAGGTAATGTTGGCCTCATAGAGTGAGGTGAAAACTATTCCCTGCTGTGAGTCTATTTTTATTGCCTTTTCTCTTCCTCTCTCTTCTTTCTGTGGCCACTTGCTTCTGTCTTTTGGAATGTCTCATACTTTTTTATTAAGTGCCAGATATTAGATGTGAAAACATGCAGAGGCTCAGCTGATGTTTAACTTCTTCCGGAAAAGATTCATCCCTCCTTCACTAGGCAGACAGAATGATGTAACACCTCCTCCCCTCATTCAGAAGCAACAAATAAGTTCAGCCTAAAATGGACTGTAGGTCTCAACTTACCCCTCTTAGGTTCTCCTGTCTCCGGAATCTTGAGACCATTTTGTGTCTCAGCAGCCTTCCAAGGCCTTCTAACACGTGGTGTTTGTTTGTATGCTCAAGCTACTCCATTCCACTTGAAGCCAGCACATACTGCTATTATAATAAACAGACAACTAAAAATTCTATATGGGGTGGGGGAGACTTTTGAATTTGGTAAGGTTTCGAAAACTTTCTCTAGTCTCAGATCACATGATCTTATATATAGAAGATTCCAAAGAATCTGCAAAAATAGCTTCTAAAGCTAATACACAAATTCAACAAAGCTGCAGGGTGCAAGATCAGCACGCAATAATCAGTTGTGTTTCTATACACCAGCAATAAACCACCAGAACATCTGTTAAGAAGCCAGACACAAAAGGTCCCATGCTACATTATTCCATTTATATGAAATATCCATAATTGATAAATCCCTACAGACAGAACACAGACTGGTGGTTGCCTGGGTCTAGGGGAGGGATAATGGGGCTAAACTTCATGGGTAAGGGTTTTTACTTAGGAGTGATGGTAATGTTTTCGAACTAGATAGAGGTAGTGGTTGCACAACACTGTGAATGCACTTAAGTGCCACTGAATCATTCACCTTAAAATGGTTAATTTATATTATATGAATTTCACCTGAATAATTCTTAGAAAATAGACAACCAACAACAAAAAAAAAAAACAAAAACAAAAAAAAACAAGTAGCAGGTGGGATTTGGCCCTCCCATAGCCAGTGATTTGTTGATAACTGGTTTAAAATAGCCATACTCACAGAACTTTCTGCAACGATGGAAATGTCTTATATCTGTGCTGTTCAATACAGTAGCCAGTAGGCACATGTGCCTGACTGCTTGAAACATGATTAATGTAACTAAGGAACTGAATTTTTAATTTTTGACTGTAAATTGGTTTAAATTTAAATATTAATAACAGTGTATTCCTAGTGGTTAGAAATCCCTCATCCTTATTCTGCAATATTAAAAGCTATGAAAATTTTTTTAAGAGACAGGTTTGATGCAGCTTAATTTTGTGGCCAAACCTGACTTGAACTGAAGTGAACCTATTTATACTCCTTATTTATCTCACTTTGTGTAAATATTCATATTTTCTTAAAAAATATCAGTGTGCGTGTGTATATATATATGCTGCTACCCCACACTCTATTGGGATTACATAAAATCTATACCAAATACATCATAATCCCTTTCTAACAAGTCAAACAATTCTGAACTTGGAAACACATAGGTAAACAATTTTGAGCTTGAAAACACATAGGTTTCCTGGGGTTTCAGATAAGACCTTGTGTACTTATAACTCCAAGAATACAAACGTTCATATTTTATGGGCTGAAGAAGAAAAGCAGGGAGAGGCTAAAATTGTCCTCCTACCCATAATTGTGAGATGGTTGTACAAACAACTTTGGGGGAAGGATGACTTACTTCCTCCGAGTTGCAGAATGGGCATTTGTTTTTCATGTACCCAGATGATTCCTCTTTTTGGTTTTCAGGTTCCTATTTCCCAGCCAGTAAAATGCATAAGAATCACTGTTGCATGTTTAGGGCAGAGGGTGAATGAGAGTGTCAGTTGAGCAGACAAGGGATTTTTTTTCCCCCTTTGGCTTTTCTATGAATCAGGTTCTTGCTAAATGTGTCCTGAAAATTGAAGACTCAAGTAGGCATTCAAAAGTGCAAGGGACCATGGTACAAGAGTCAGGAGGAACTTTGGAGGAACTCTGGCTCTTCAACTCTTAGGTGTAACTTGGGTAAATTTCTTAACCCTGTGAACCTAGGCTCTGTCATTTGTAACTTGTTGATAATGCCTACCTCATTTACCATAGTAGGATGGTGCAAGAATTAACCCAGATAATATCTGCAAAATGCAAGCTGACCTATAAGATAGCATTTTCACCCATCAAATTGATGAAGACAAAGGCTGAAAAAACATTGTGTTGGTGAGGATATGTGTAAATGAGTACTTGCATGCACTGTTGGCTGGATTATAAATTAGTACATCTATTTGGAAAACAATTTGACAATATCTATTAAAATATAAAATGTAATATCTTTCTATGCAAGAATTCAAATTCTTGTTATCTACTCCATGTGCAAATGGAGGAATGTCTAAGTAATTTTCATTACATCATTACTTGGAGTAAAGGAATACTACAAACTATCTGAATGTTCATCAGAAGAGAAACGATTCATTCATATTGTGCAGCATGAATAAGGCAGATGTATATGTATTTGTATAGGACAATAGGTGCCCAGCTAGCTCATTTGGTAGAGCATGAGACTCTTAATCTCAGGGTCATGGGTTCGAGCCTCACTTTGAGCATGCATTGGAAACCCTGGTGGTGTAGTGGTTAAGAGCTACAGCTGCTAACCAAAATGTCAGCAGTTCGAATCCACCAAGTGCTCCTTGGAAACTCTATGGGGCAGTTCTACTCCGTCCTATGGGGTCGCTATGAGTCGGAATCCCCTCGACGGAATGGGTTAGTTTTTTTTTTTTAATAAGACAATATCAAAATTATTTAATAAATACAAAAAATCAAGATACAGTAGAGTGTTTGTCATTTGGACAAAGAAAAGAGGAAATTGAGAAGTGACGTAAATGTACATAGGTTTATCTGCCTGATATACATAGATTATTTTGGGAAGGGCATATTTCTGGAAGGACATATAACCAATTGGTGGGAATTATTTCTAGAAAGTCTAAATGGGGTTCTCTAGTTAGATGCATTGAAGCTGTACTTTTCAATATATGTGCTTGTATGGATTGAATTGTGTCCCCCTAAAATGTCTGTCAACTTGGCTAGGCCATGATTCCCACCATTACGTGATTGTCCACAATTTTGTCATCCGATGTGATTTTCCTATGCACTGTAAATCCTACCACTGTGATGTTAATGAGGCAGGATTAGAGACACTTAATGAGGCAGAACTCAAACTACAAGATTAGGTTGTATCTTAAATAAATCTCTTTTGAGATATAAAAGAGAAAATCAAGCAGAGAGACAGGGGAACCTCATACCACCAAGAAAGTAGTGCCAGGAGCAGAGTGTGTCCTTTGGACCCGGGATCCCTGGGCTGAGAAGTTCCTAGACCAGGGGAAGATTGATGACAAGGACTTTCCTTCAGAGCTGACAGAGAAAGAAAGCCTTCCCCTAGAGCTAACACCCTCAAATTTGGACTTCTAGCCTACTACTAAGCTGTGAGAGAATAAACTTCCGTTTGTTAAAGCCATCCACTGTGGTATTTCTGTCACAGCAACACTAGATAACTAAGATAGTGGTTTTGTGTCTTGATGTATTCTGTCTTTAAATCCAGATATAAATTATGCAAAATAAAACTCACCCTTTTATGTGTGCTGTTCAATGAGCTTTGACAGTTATGTAACCACCACCACAAGCAAGATATAAAACATTTCAATCACTGTCCCCTAAAAAAGCTCCCTCATGCTCCTATTGCAGTCAATCCACTCTTACTGCCTACAGTTTTGTCTGTCTGTCCCTGCAGGTTTGCCTTTTCAAGAATGCTATATAATGAAATGTGACATAAATGGAATAACTTATAATCAGCCATAACTCTTTATTTCTGGGGCTTTTTTCAGAATACAGAATAAAATTCATTATAGGTGAAATATATGACAATTTCCTTAAAAATTAATAGGTAATATTCTGAGGATGACAACATTTAGGAGTCAGTGAGTCATTGACAAATTTAATATACAATATCTGAAACATATTCAGAAGGTCTGTCACCCAGATACTCAGTACTTCCAATGTTGCTGGAGCCCACTTTTTCAATGTTATTGCCCCTAGACATAAACAAACCCATTCCTGTTTATTACTTTGTCTATCTGGGTGGAAATGTAATTGCCTTTCTTTAGACATGGGTTTCCTCATCTATAGATCAAAGACATTAGACTAAGTGATGTCCATCATTTTTACCAACTCCATGACTTCTTTATAACTAAGTTTATTGATGTCTATTCATTCCAGGGCACGACCATAATGACATCATTGTCCTCTGTGCTGTATGACAGCAAAGAATTTCCCAACCCAGAGATGTTTGACCCTGGTCACTTTCTGGATGAGAGTGGCAACTTTAAGAAGAGTGACTACTTCATGGCTTTCTCAGCAGGTAATAGAAATTTATATCCATCTGTAATTCAGGGAACAGGATACCTGTATGAGATCAGTTGGGACTTGGATGGTGCCTACTCTGGGGCTAGTACATGGTCATGCGCACCACTCCCAATGTCATGCGCTTTCCCATTCATGAAAAATTCTCATTATTGGGCCAGAGCAGTGAGTCTTTGGGGATGTGACCCAGTTTTTCCAAAGTGAGAAAGCTGGGGAATGAGTTGATTGAATTCTGTCCCCAGATACATAACTGAGCTACCCAATAGCGCCTCCTACAAGGTGAAACTCATTTAGACTACCAGCACCTTTCCTGAGAAAGGTGTCTAATGCCACAGCTTTATTGTCTTCTGTGTGGGCCCTTTACTTCCAAAGGCTGAGCTCTGAGGATACAGATATGAATAAACACAAAATGGTCACTGAAGGGCCTTACTTACCCCCCCCCCCAGTTAGGAAAGCAACTAAGTAAACAGATCATTATAATCCAGTATGACTAGAACTGTTAGAGATGGAATCACAGGCTGCTCAGGGGACAAAGCACATGCCTCATAGTAAGGCATAAAATGGAATAAGCAACATTCTAATAGAAGCAATGAAATGTGAGATGCCTCACAGTGGCAGAGAGCAAGGAAAGAAGACACAGCAAGGCATTTTAGAAAAATTGTGGTTAGTATATTTATTATAGAAAAATTGTGGTTGGTATATTTATTATATAGAGAGAAATTTATATAAAGGAAATGGCTCATGAAGTTGTAGAGGCTGGAAAGTCCCAAGACTGTGGGTCAGACTGGAAGCTTCTCCTGGCTTACAGGCTGCAGAGACTGATGAATCCCAAGATGGGTAGTCAAGACAGCAGGTAAGCTGCTAGCTCAAGTCTCACAAACTGGAAGTCAGACGAACAGAAGCTAGCTGTAAGATCCAGAACTAGCAAAAGGCCACAAGCCTGGCCAGAAAATCTACCTATATTGGATACAGGCCACACCCTCAAGGAAATTCCCTTTCAACTGATCGGCTACTCACAGCAGATCCCATCATGGAGGTGATCCCATTATATCAAATCTCTTCATGGAGCTAATGACATCATTATACAACTGCCAAACTACATCTGTAAAAACAGCATGGGCACGATGTCTGAACTCCTCTAACTTCACAAGACAGCCTCTGGGAGCCATTTATAGTTGTAAAGTGTGGGAGAGACATATGCTTTTGAAATTACATGAGGGAAAAATAGTCTGTGACTGAATTTATGCCAGAGGAACAGAGGGGAACACAGATATATGAGCCCCCTCCTCTTAGACTTTCTCCCTTTAATATTCTTGGTCAAGCAATGTAGGTGTCTTTATAGGAAAAGACTGATGGAAATTTGTAATGTCAAAATAGCAGTCACAATCTGGGATACTTAAAGAAGTACTCGGTATAGAGTTCAAAATAAATATTTCTTGAATGAAGGTTTTTGTTAAGATAAAGCATTAGCTAGATAGCAAGTTGGTTCAGCCTTCCGCCTATCTATCTATACAAGCATCCTTCCAGCCATCCTTCCTTCCCTCCATCCATGTATGTAATTATTCATCAAACAATTACTGCGTAGTCTCTCTGTACCAGATAAGAAACATAGTGTCTAAGGAGTATCTAACGTCTGTGTTTGTTATTTTCAGGAAAACGAATTTGTCTGGGAGAAGGCTTGGCCCGCATGGAGGTGTTTTTATACCTGACCACCATTTTACAGAAATTTACCTTGAAGTCTCTGGTGGACCCAAAACACATTGACACCACCCCAGTGGTCAATGGGTTTGCATCTCTGCCACCCTCATATCAGCTCTGCTTCATTCCTGTCTGAAGAAGGCAGACTATCTGACTGCTCCTGTCCTGTCACCTACAAATCCCCTCCACTAGAGCATGGTTAACTCCTTCCTAGTACTTCCTCTGAACTCTCCTCTCCATATCCCCTATTCCTTCAAGATCCAGTGAAAATCACTCTATTAAGGGGAGTTTTCTGTGTTTCACGGCATAAATTATCTCCTCTTCTTCATATTCTGCAATACTTCTACTCGTCACCATGCCTTAATACTTCCCTAACTGAATTATTACTGTGTTATTACTCTGAAACAGAGCAAAGAATGGTTTTTTTTTTCCTGTTGCCATCAAGTCATTCTGACTCATGGTGACCTCAGGTGTGTCAGAATAGAACTGTGCTCCATAGGCCTTTCAGTGGTTGGTTTTCAGAAGTAGATCACCAAGCCTTTCTTCCGAGGCTCCACTGGGTGGATTAGAACTGCCAACCTTTTCGTTAATAGCTGAGTGCTTACGTACACCACGAGGGACTCCTCAAGTAAAAAGGGCACTAATATTTTGTTATCAGATGTGGCAGTAGAGATATGCAAAATATCACCATTTTATATTCCTAATATAATACGCTCGGGAGGCAAGGTTCTGGATGACCATGTATTTGATACTGTCGTAGGCTGGGTTCTCTAAAGAAGTAAAACCAGTGAAGCATCTATCTATCTGTCTATCTATCTATCTCTCTTTCTCTTTCTCTCTCTGTCTGTCTCTCTCTCTCTATCTATCTTTCTGTCTACCTATCTATCTATAGAGAGAGAATGTTATATCAAGGAAATGGCTCATGTGGTTATAGAAGATGTAAAGTCCCAAGTCCGTTGGTCAGGCTGGAGTCTTCTCCTGACTCACATAGCTGCAGGAGCTGGTGAACCCAAGATCAGCAGGTCAGACAACAGGCCTCTTGCTCACAGGCTGTGCAGGCCAACAAATCCCAAGATCGGCAGGTAAGCTGGCAGGCTGATAGCTCACAGACTGTGGAGGCTGATGAATCCCAAGATCATCAGGTAAACTGCTAGCTCAAATCCCAAGAACTGGAGGCCAGATGTACAGGAAACAGCTGCAGGATCCAGGTGAGCAAAAGCCCACAAGGCTTGCCAGAAAGTCCACCTATATTGGATACAGGCACGCCCAAGGAAACTCACTTTCAACTGGTTGGCTACTCATGCAGGTCCCATCATGGAAGGAATCACATTATATCAGATCTCATCATGGAAGTGATTACATCATTATACAACTGCCAAACTACATCATAATTGCCAAACAGCTGAGAATTATGGCCCAGCCAAATTGACACACAACCTTAACAGTTACAGCCCACAGCTTGTCACCTGTAACATCTTAAACCATATATAATCTTTGAATAAAGACAATTATAAAGTCATACTTGTGCCTAACATGATGTAACTAACACATGTAAAACCAAAAACTTACTAGCCCTGTTCACATCTTATATTTTATAAATGAAGAAAACAAAAATATTTGATGCACACATACAAGGAAGAAATACTCATAACAATCACAGTCCTCATTTCTGCAGCTGGTCACGTGGTCATGACTAGTATTTAGAACAAACTTCTTCCACCACCCATTCCATATTGCCTTTGCCCTCAGCAAGCACCTCAGCTTGTTGTGGTTCTTTGCCTGGTGGGGTGACCCAAACCTTCATTCCTGAAGGGTGTGGGCCATTAGTAGTCATGTTGGAATTGAGTTGCTGTTGTTTTTCATTGACTATAATCAGGGCATGGTAATACTAAGAGACACCCTAAGGGATCTTCTGCATTCCAGACATATTCTTTTTTTACCTCCATTATGTAATATCAATCTAATATCCTCTTGGTAATCAGGATCAATCACACTAGCCAGTGTGGTAACTCCCTTCTTTGCCTGTTGATCCAGAGGCATAAAGAACCCAAAGTGGCCAGGTGGCATTCTTAACTTCCAGTTCAATGGAATCAGTGATGTGTCTCCAGATGGTGGGAGCATTCCTCCCTTTGGAACTCAGACTTCTAGACCCACAGAGCATAGGGTCTTGGGTACAGAAAGCAAAAATTTTGTGAGTGGGTCACTAGGGGTAATAGTGAGAGGTTCCACTCCCATTTCCACCCCTTGATTCCTGGACTTATGAATCCTGGCTATAGGAGAAACAGCATCATATATTGGATGCAGGTTTAGAGCATAGACAACCTCCTGGAGAACATTGCCCCAACCCTGCAAAGTATTGCCATCTAGCTAGCACAGTAATTGTGTCTTTAAAAGGCCTTTGTATCATTCTATCAAGCCAGCTGTTTCAGGATGATGGGGAACATGGTAAGACCAGTGGATTCCATGAGCATGGGCCCATTGCTGCACTTCATTTGCTGTGAAGTGAGTTCTTTGATCTGAAGTGATGTTGTGTGGTATACCATGATGGTGGATAAGGCATTCTGTAAGTCCGGGGATGGTAGTTTTGGCAGAAGTGTTCTGTGCAAGGAAGGCAAATTCATATCCAGAGTAAGTGTCTGTTCCAGTAAGAACAAAATATTGGCCTCTCCATGATGGAAGTGGTCCAATGTAATCAACCCGCCACCAGGTTGCTGGATGATCACCTTGAGGAATGGTACCATACTGGGGTCACAGTGTTGGTCTCTGCTGCTGGGAGATTGAGCACTCAGGAGGGCTGTAGCCATATCAGCCTTAGTAGTGGAAGTCCTCCTATGCTGGATGCCGACTACACCCCTAAGGAAACTCTCTTTCAACTGATTGGCTATTCACAGCAGATCCCATCATGGAGGTGATCACATTATATCAGATCTAATCGTGAAGGTGATTCCATCATTATATGACTGCCAAACTACATCATAACTGCCAAACCGCTGAGAATAATGGCCTAGCCAAGTTGACGAACAACCTTACCTATCACAGATACCTTACAAAATTTGTGTGAAACTAATGAGTGTCATGAAATTGGGTGATTGCTGCTAAGTCCTTTGGAAGTACTGGAGAAATAAAAGGATGATCTGTGGGCTTCAAATTCCCAGCACCCATGCCACATAAATGACTTGAAATTTTTTATATCTTCTCTGAAAGAAACCCTATTTCCTATAGTTCTAAGGCTGAGGTTTCAGAAAACAAAACCCAAAGTCTCATCCTGTTAGTGGTTGAATTGTAATACAAATTGATTTCCAAACCTTGCAGGGTGTCTTCTGTTAAAGTGAGAGCACTGATTGGAAAGGAATGAGGTCTTAAAGATTGGAATGGAGACATATGGGCAGACCCTGATGAAGCTGGACACATTGAACCCGAGTTCTGATGTGGCTTTTTTGCCAGTAGAAACAACCCTTACACCCCTGTCTGAGGAACTTAACCCTGATTTTCCATGAGAACCTGTAAAGACCACCTTTATGGTAGTTGCTCTGCAAGACACTGCTGATTCTTCTCAGAACCTGCTCAACCACCCTTCTTGGCTTCTGAAGTATAACTGGACTCAAGACCCATCAGGCCTAAAAAAGTGAGGTAGAAATTATGTGTGAGTAGGTGTTCTACACTCTTAAAAACTGCATGATTATTCCAATTTATACAGACAGAAATCTGGAGAATATGTGTGAGAATGGATATTAAGTATGTGGGATAGTTGTGGAAGAAACATAAAAATCAGATCATAGTGAATTTACTGATATGGGTCCACTAAGCTGAGATTTTAGATTTGATTTCATAGCTCATAAGTTTAGACCTGCCCATCCACCCAAAAGAGCTCAGAGGACACATTTTTCATCATACTTTGAGAAATAAATAGGAGAGAAGGGTCCACGTATCCTTAAAGAACTCTGTGGTGGCTCTTCTCTGTAGATCAGAATTTACAGTGCAAAGTGCTGCCACTGAACTGCAATGGGGATAATTGAACCCCAGGTGGCAGGGCCCAAGGGGCTGCACTTAATCACCAAAGACAAGGTATGTGGCTACCATAATGGACAGAGGAGTCAAAGCAGTAATCAGAATAGTCTGACTCTCAGAGACCTATGGTTGATTATAGTCTCCATAAAAGAGAGATAGGCAGTATACTAAAATAGTTAATTTTTATAAGTGTAAGAGCTCTCGGTTGAGTGAACAGAAGTCTATCTTGAATCACTAAAAGAGAGAGTCATGTCCCATCAATCAATACCCAGACTTGAGGCAGCTTAAACACCCAGAATGCCTTGAACGACTAGAAGGCCAGGTTCATTGAGGGAAGACACCACTATACTGACAATAATTTATACCATCAATCTTTCTCCCAGCCTTTTCCAAAAGTACCTACAGCCTTTTACCAGAGTGACTGTGCGTCCAAGTCAGGATTTTCTACAGAAATAGACCCAGTACAATAGATAATCTATCTCTATCTATCTATAATCTATCTATATACATATATACATGTATATAGTGAGAGATTGATTGATATTTGAGGAATAGGCTCTTGTGCTTGTGGAGACTGGCAAGTCCAAAATCTGTAGTTCAGGCTGGAAAATATGGCAGTCTTGGGTCTCAGAACTTGTAGGTCAGTATGTCAGTTGATGGATAAGCCACTGGAATTCTGGCAAGTTGTCTATGTATCTTGTGGAGCAGAATACTTCCTTGGGATACCTCCATATTTGATTTTAAGGCCTTCAACTGACTGGAGAGAGATTATGGGGGCTCATTTATTTTACTTTAGGTCAACTGATTGTATCACGTGTCTATATTTTATTACATCTAGATTAGTGTTTGACCCAACAATTGGGCACCATAGCCTAGCCAAGTTGAAGCATAATCCATCACACTATGCATTTGGGAAAAGAAAATAACCAGACTTTTGGGGGGATTACTGGACATTGGTTATGTACTGACACTATGGTCCACCAGTCAGAGTAGGGGCTTATGGAGGTGAAGTAACCAGGGAATATGGAAAAGATAGTAGAAGAAAATTGTTATAAATAGCTGCACCCACGATCAGTTGCAGAAATGAGGACTGTAAT